AAGGCTGTAGACTTTCTAGCCTGCAAGTAATATGAGATTCAATGGAGATGCAATCCACTTGTCGAATTCCTTAGCATCAATAGGAGGAAGTTTATTTTCTTGTTTCCTGGATTTCTGCAATCTGTATATCTGATTTTTAAACAGGGATTAAAGCTGCCTTAGGTAAAATCAAAGAGCATCTGGTAAATCTTTCAGGACTGAGATTTTCAGAACTGCACGGGAAGTCCAAACCCTAATTAGAATTAGTGGGAATTGCATTTGCAAGTGCAAGCCAATTGCTTTGACAATCTCAATGATCATCCGCATGTGTCAATAGTATTGAGAACTCAAAACACCTCGCTGGTTAAATATGCATGACATTGCATCTAGAATGCTTTGATACTGTGTTGGCAAAAACAGAAAAGCAAATGTAACACACATCTGTAACAAAAAAACCTCTCTACTACCCAAAGAAAAAGCAGATTGAAGCTTTGCCTCTTTATGAACGTGCATTAAAGATTTATGAAGACAGCTTTGGCCACATGCATCCTCGTGTAGGGGAAACACTGAAAAACTTGGCAGTGCTAAGGTAAGATTATACGCTTCAACCCTATAAAAGCAAATTACTGCATGAAACAAAACATCCTGGGCTTGTGTACTTGCTAGGAAAGTAGAGAGCCTTAAGTACTCTATGGTGTGTATTTCAATTTAAATGATTTGAGAGACTTTTTTTTCAACTGTGTTTTACTCTTTTCCAAAGCTATGAAAGGGGAGACTTTGAGAAGGCAGCTGAACTTTACAAGAGGGCTATGGAAATAAAAGAAGCAGAGACTTTGTTGATAGGTGGTAAAGCAACTTCTCGACATTCATCGAGTGGAGACACATTCAGCTTAAAAAGTGCATTATCACCAAATATTTTCCTGGAACACGGACAAAGGTGATATGAACCTGCTCCAAGAAAATGCAGTCTCTGTTGGTATTTTAAAGCAGACAGAAAATTTGCAAGACAAATCCATTTTTCCAAGGATTACATACTGTTTTGGTACTGACACCTGTCTTCCTGAATGACAGGGAAACAAATGTTTCAGCTTGAAATCCTCCAACTTTGCAGGCTGTGTGGTACGAAGTGAGCTGCTTTCATTGTATATAGGTGCACATATTAGTTGCTAGCTCAAGTTATAGGTAATACCAAGAACATGGACTTGCTACCTCTTAGCCTAAGTGCCAGGATTATAACAAGTTAAGCTGAACCCCTTGTATAAACTCTATGGGGTAGTTCTTATTTCTGTGCTGTAATAGCATGGCTTAGAGGATTTGTGTATTTTTGCTTCATCAATCCTTTCTCCCTTTTCAGAAGCCTTTAAAGTTGTTTCTGAAGAGATGGTAATTTTGAAAAATTTTTGAAAATACAGTTCCACCAAAAGTTTTGCCTGCAGGGTTATTTCAGCTTTAAGCAAACTTGCATTCAAGGGACTTGTGCAAAATTAATTGCTTTCCTTGGGAAGCTAACGTATCTAAATATATCATCATCTACAGTTAAAGCTGTTGTCAGATTCCACTCTGTTCAGTAAAAATATTTCCAGTGAGGAATTGGAATGATTATGACCCAATTCCCTGTTGTTAAACCTTTAGTGATACTTTCACTATTTAATCTCACTGAATCCCTTAAAATACAACAATGTATTTGCTGGGAAAACCTAGTGATTCAAAATAGTTTGCCATCAGATAAAGAGATGATAAACCAATCTACCTGCCTCTTGTATTTCTTAACACCGTAGTCATGTGGAAGAATCAGTTTGAAGTCTGTTCTCATACAGTGCACAAATCCATGAATCAATTTAAATACATACTTTTTATTAAAAAATGAATATAAGTGGAAAATTAATTGAAACCTCACTATAACGTTTCAGAGGCAACTAATGTAAAGACTTATTTGATCCAGTTTGAAAAATGCAAATGGTCTTCAGCTCCAAGGGGTACTTACCTTGCACCCCGTGTTTTCCCTCTTTTGGAACATAATTAAATATAACCCATTTCAGCCCTTATTCTAGTTAGGAGGAATTTAATATTTTAATAAGGCTCTAACTTGGCAAAAGAAACAGTATATGAAACTGACAGCACAAATATACAGCTCAAATTTGATTTTTAAGATGAAGATTTAGTTTGAAAAAAAAAATCAAAAATAGCTCTTGAAGATATTATGATACAGCAACAAGAGTTGGCACTTCCTAATAGCTCTCTGGATATTTTCCTCTTATTCAGAAAGTGGGTTTTTAATCAAAGCAGGAATTTGACCACTGTATTCCAGCCACCTTGAAGAGTTTTGAAAATGGGAAAGTTTCTTTGCAGGATTGTTACCAACTAAGGAGAGGGGCAAAAGGGAAAACAAACACCAGCCAAAAACCCTCAACATACTTAGTTTGTGTGTGTTTCTGTTGCCTGCTGTTCCTATATCTGGTAAATCCCTTCTCTAAAAAATTACCAGATATCTCGTCTGTCACCTCTGTTCTGATTTTAACATGTAAAATGATGTATCTTGCTCTCCTGAATAGTTTTCCTTAATGTTTCTGATTTAAATAAGAAGCAACTTTCTAGATCTTCAGTGTTACATTAGACTTTACTACAGAAAGTAAAGCAGGATCACGTAGGACTAAGAATCCTATGGCCGCGTGTCAGCCGTAGCCACTGCGTGCTCACAAGACAGCTGTCCCTGTAGTTGCACCTCATGGACAGTAAGGAAAAGTAATTTATATATATGATGTATGCCAGGTAATAATTCTGTGTAGGATAATTCCTCCTCAAAACTGAGGGTCACCAGCTTCAAGGGAGATTTAATTACACAGTCAGAATATCAAGATTTTATTCGTCAACATTCATGCGACACTGTAAAAACTGAAAACTTCTTTTATAAGACTGCCAGATAAAGCTGGATTTAACCATGGCAATGTGCTTTAATTTGTTAGTTCGTAACAAAGGAAGTAATAAATTTTCTATTGTATTTTACAGTTGGAGTAGATTATACTTGTAAATGTCTTTTTAATTAAAAAAAGAATCCTTAAAATTTAGTTTTTCTGATGCTGTTTATTTTTAAATAATTTAACCATTGGCACATACAATCATCTTAATGTATTTTCTGTTTATTTCAAATTTTTTGTGTATATACAAGTTGAAAGTCTGAAAGTAACATGAGAACCATTTTGTTTACTCTGTAATTGGACCTACAAAAGTATATTAATTTGCTCATAAAAGTGTATGTGAAGTTGCCTCTTGTAAAGCTGTCAATCATGTGATAGCAGTCATGTCAGCCAAACAGTTAAGAGTCAAGATGAGCTGAGCTGTTGTAGAAATGAGTTCAGCCATTTGCCTCAGGATCTCCAGAGCCAGGTGCATGCCTCACTGTTATTGTTCCCAACAAAAAGGTGAAGTCACATAGAAATGTCAGTAACGCTTAAAATGACACTTGGATGAACCTAACACAGACTTGGTAACACAGATTCAAGTATGAACCTTTCTAATGGTCTCATTTTTCTATTTCTCATCCCTCTTTACAGTTCATTCTGAGATCTGGTTTCTCCAAAATTGAACTCAGTTAAAAAAACCAAACCAACCAAACAAAAAACCCTCTTCCATTTTACAGTATAATGCAACCCACTCAAAACCCACCTAAAGCCTCCCTCAGTACCTTCAGAGATGATTTTTATGTGTATAATATAACCTGATGTCAGCTGTGGAGAAAACAGATTTTGAAGTCTGTAACCATTGCTAAAGAAGTGAAACATTTTTTCACTAAGTATTCATTCAGCTGCCCTAAGCAGCAGAAGCACCGCCACAATACTGCGCTCTCTTTACACATTGCTCCCATACTGCTACTGCCATCGCTAGCTGGTTCTGTGTTGGCTGCATCGTGCTGTGGAAAAGTTTTTTGAAGAGCCCAACTTGGAAATACCTGTAGTATACTGAGAATTACCTTCTAAGGTAATTTCTGAAATTTACCTTCTAAGCCAAACTGAAGTAATGATCAAGTTCTGGATCAGACGGCCACAGTAGTTAAAATATTTTAAATTGATCCTTCCAGTTCTGCAGGGTACTGGCACTATAGGATGTAGTTTAACATGTGGTAATTCCTTCATATAGCCCATATGATGGGAAGGGATCAGAATTATAGCTAAACTTTCAATAACCAACAAAAATATATTATTTAGATTTAGAAGAGAGAGACAAATTCTCCTGTTCTTTCCAATGTTGCCCGTAATTTTGTTTATGAAAAGCATCTGCCAGCTGAAATAGTGGCATGCTAATATAGTCTGCTAATATAATACTAACAAAAAGACTTCACCTTCTTACAATATTCTCAAAACATTATCCTATAGGAGCTATTTGAGGACAAGCAGTAGTAAGACATTGATAAAAGTAAGAAAGTTTAAAAAAAATACCATCCCAGAGATATTTAAGGCAGATGAAAAGGTTTAAACGTTCTGATTACTCAGAAAAAGAAGCCACACCACGATCCATGCAAAGAATTTAGACCAGTGAACAACAACCAAGGACAAGTGCCGGGAAAAATCAGGAGCAGCAACATGAGTGAGGTACTATCATCTGCCCTACGCCTTCTCAGTCCACTCCAGCAGATTTCATCTTTCCCTTGTCCTATACTAGGTACTATTCTCATCACATGATAGGGCATATAATGTCCTATGCCTGCTTTTGTTAGTTTGTTCATCTCAGCCTTGGCCATATTGATCAACATAACTGGTCTACTCTGGCCTCCAACCGGGAGGTCTGGAGACACACCATCTATAACGCTGCTGATGCCTTTGAGAACGCACACAGGATCATCCTTGAAGAGAAAAGACAATGCAGAAAGAATCGTGCCTTGCAGAATATACCATCTAAGGAGTCTTTCTGCTGTGCCTGTTGCAACCGGACGTGCCTATCTCGTATTGGCCTTTTTAGCCACCAGCGCGCTTTTGACAAATGTGGGTAGAGACCTTTCCCAAATCTTCATTCACAAAGCCCAGCCATGAAAGTCATGTCTTTTTATTTTCTACTGAATATCTGGACACTAGCAATGCTGAGAAACTAAAATTTACAGTAGCACAACTCTGTATGGTAAAGAGTGACTAGACAACAGAATATGAACAATGTAAATCTGTGTCCTTCCTGCCCATGTAACAGTTCCACTTCTTTAGAAAGGTAAAGGTAAGCTTCACTGGAGGTAAAGAAAAAAAGTAAGAAGACTGGTCTTCTCAAAATCCATGTTGATCTGAAGTTGTACTTAATATTTATTTTTCTACATGTTTCTCATTTTGGCCATGAGTTCTTCCAGGCTTTCTTCAGACTCTGCTACCGTTTCCTTCATTATCGAATTCTCTTCCTGTTAGGAACAGGAAGAAAAAGTTGGCAAAAAAATAGCAAACAACAATCCCCACACAAATTAGCTTTACTGCCTTTACACCACACCATTTTCCTAGAACCAGGCACTTGATTACAAGATTAGGCCTAAGTGATTATACGCTTAAACTGTAAACTATTTCGCTTTGGAGTTAGAATGTTCTGGCCGCAAGACATACAGATTCTATGTTTCCCAGGTATACTAATTGCTCTTTGACTACATACAGTTTTAAAAGATAAATATGGTAAAAATTAATTAGTCACCAAAAAGCAACTGAGAAATTCACATTTGTTTTCCTTCTACCAGCCCCGAAAAGCATTTATTCTTATCACCTCAAAACTACATTCACACCAGCTTCCATACTTAAAGGAATATATTTCATAGAAACACAAAATCATCTGCACTAATCAGATGTACTGAGGTCCAGTTTCACTGAAACTGTTCAAGATGGAATTTTATTTTAGGTTTAAAGACTACCAAACTAGCTGGTAGTATAAAGTTAATCTACAACATGTATTTCAAAATTCATAAAGAACAAATATATTACCTTTTCTGGGATAGTATATGCTACAGTAATTCCCTCAGGAAGGTCGGGTACCGGGCCAGACGCAGCCTTCAGCTCATCTACTGAAGTTTCTGATACTAATTCGATGCCTTTGCATTAAAAGCAAACAAGAACTCCATTAAAAGGTAGAAGAAAAAGTTCTTTAATAACCAAGCTATCACAGTAAGTAAGAGGTAAGCTGCAGCTTCTTTTCCAAAACAGAGAAAAATTAAAAGCAGAAAGACCTTTGATTTCAACCACTTCCTTCCACTATCAATACAAAATATCTTCCCTTTACAATATGTGAAACAGTTCTATATATGTAACTTATGGACAAGAATGGCACCTCTTCTTTGTCCTTACTATTTAAATCTTACTATGTGGACACCTCTGCCAATGGTAACATAAGATTATTTTTTAGATCATATAATAAACAGAATGTATACCCCTGTTCTTGAGACAGTTATATAAAACACATTTACCATTCCTTAAGACAATTCCTTCTAATTTAAAACCCTCAAAGGAATATAAAATTCCACAGGATGCCTCAGCACAGTGGTTATGGAAATGACAAATTCTCTTCAGTATATTTAAAAGGCATACACAATTAATACATTTTCTCACATCTCTCTCATCTTCAGACCATCTTTTAAGAAAGTCTTTTACTCAAGCAGCAGTTACATTTTGAGCCTAAAACCTTCACACTGCATCAAAAACACATCATCAGGTTGTGGTAAAATTATTGTCAAAACCTGTGAAAAGCCAGCAGTAATTGCGCAGTATAAGTTACAAAAAATAGGAACTGTAAGAATTCTACGTACCCTACAGTATGTTCACCCAAATTGAATCTTGGTACTGGGAACATCATTTAGTCTCCAGTTGATGACTTACCCCAGTCATTGTCTTCGTGTACTATTTCATCTTCCTTTTCAATTACTTCTTGTTTTGGTTGTGCAGCTTCTTTTTTCTGAAGGAAAACCACAAAAAGATAAAAACCATAATAAGCAAAATGTAATAGTCAAATTTCCAACAACAGCAAAGAAGATCAAATCTAATATTCATGTTTCTTTCAATATTTAAGATAAGCAGCCACAGTTTAGAACTTTGTTAGCCATAAAAAAGGCAGAATACCTGCTGCTTAAAAAAAAGCAGAATACCTGCTGCTTATCACTCAGAAACACAGGACTGCCAGAAAGGTTGAGCAATTATGTCCAAGAAAATATTACTTAACTGAATGCAAGCCCTTCTTCCTACCCTTTGCTTTAAGATAACTCTACATACTGTATATTTAGAAACATGTGCAACCATCTCAGGACAAGGCTGCTGAAAACTGCGAGTAGCAATTAACGTTTTCTTTTACTACAGATTTGTATCTTGCAGTGTTCTTAAGATTTTAAGAAAGGGAAAAAAAGAAAACCCAAATCATTTTTACCTTATAATTTTCTTGCTGTTTTCTGCAATTGTGGTCGCTACATTGTGGGTTTGGCTTCATAGACATAGTTGGGAAGAAATCCTGCATTGCATTGTAACCAAGATAATAACTCACAGTACCGAAATTTAACAGGTATCTAGAAACACAGAGAAAGAAGGAGCTTACATACAGCAATTCATATTATATTTATGCAAACCTAAAACTTCAGTTGCTCAAGGAATAATTTTCCCTCATAGAACTTTTAGAATATACTCACACTACTGCAGTTGTAAAGAGTTACTGTAATTGTCTTAAATAAGCTGTAGTCACCTAACAACAGCATAATTGGATCAATATAGAATCCAATTCTCTTCTGGTCTAAGTGTGTGAGAACACATCAGCTACACTCAGAAGTATGTTTAGAGTAGCATGTAAGCAGTTTCCTCCTGTGCCTTAAACCATTACTTGAAACACTGAGGTTCCCTGTATTACAATGTGGAAGTTTTAAACACCTGATCAGAACCAGTTTAATAATCTTTATTGTAGGGTCCAATTTGCAATCAAAATAAAGATTCAAATTAAGCTGCAATGTTTGCATTCTTCATTCAAGAAAAACATCTCTCTGGACAATTGAAAATAGAGCTTTGTTGTTTATAGGCACACCTGCAAACAGTACTTTTATTCCTTGTAACTAGAAATTTTTGGGTAATGGACAAAACCAAGCTAAGGCTAAAAGCAGGCTAAATACAATCTTATTCTCAAAGATGCTTGTAAAACACTCCGTGTCATTTTGAAAATAAGCACAAAGTTCTTCAAACATTTTCCTTGCCGATACATGCAATTCTTTTAGCAGTTGGAGTCATGCGACATTACTTTTTGAAAATACTAAGATAAGTCATATTGCTTTATAACAGATTTTTACAAACACTGTAAGGGAAATAATTTATTCTTTGTCCATGTACAAAATTTCAAAGACAAGTCAGCACTGTAGCATTTTTTGTGTATAACTTAACGATGTCAAATCAGAGCATGTTTTAATGCAGAAGTAAGAAAAAAATGTGCATCTGTGTATGCAGTAAAAGAAATTCTTCAGAAAACCCTGAAACTGTTTCTTACCCTACTGCTATTTAAAGTAGCAGTTCCAAAGCAAACACAGCAATGTTTCAAGCAGTGTATAATTCAGCACTGTCCAATCATGCCAATACCATCAGGAAACAGGCCACAGACGTTTAAAAAGAACCAGACCCGTCATTATGAAAAGTTCTTTCAGGTTTTTCTTCTCTTATTGGGCTGTAAATCGAATAGCAACAACTCAGTCACTTACTTCAGAACATTTTGTACCAGCATTCCTGCCACAACACCCATAGTTGTAGGAAGACTGGCTGCACAAACTCCCTCTCGTTTCAATGTCTTCTCATCAATATTTGCAGCAACTACAAGTGGAGGAGCACACTGAAGGGAAATAAAGAAACTGAGTTTAAAAGAAGTTTTAAAGAAATCCCACAGATCACGCAAAATCTTAAGCTACTGAATCAGCTGTGCCAGGATCACTCTCACTAGCCAGCTAATCTCCATATTCCCAGTCCTGCTTTAAAAGGAAAATGAGCAATTCAGCAGAGCGCTGCATACCGCGAAACAAGCGGATTCACCAGGTATGATCAGCTGTATGTGTCCCGACACTGCATTTTCACTGACTCCAGATTCCATCCAGATTTGACCAAGTTCATTGCAGGCCTTATAAACACAGAAACACACACATCAGCACTGCAAAAGTTTAATGAAAAGAAAAGAAACCCAAACAATGGATGGATTAAACACATCCATCTCCCTGCTTTAAGACAAAAAGGCTATGATCAGAAAAAAGGGGCATGAAGAGATAGAAATTATTTATCAGAGTCAAAGGACAAATCAAAAGGCAAATTAAAGTTGACCTCAGAAAGCTAGCCCATTGTGCTTTCCTGAGGACCTGAGATTTTTTAACAAATACAGACATTAGTGATCCAGTTACAGCACACTACAGAATCTAATCGCACAATCTACTTTTACAGGCTTGGATACAGTAATCTGTGTACCTTCCCTGCCTGCAATTTATGGATCCAGTCAGCTGGAGGATAACAGAAAACATACATTTGGCATGTACCCTACGTTGGCTGCTACTATAAAGAAAAACAATTTGATTAGGTACACAGCATTAAGTCATTTTTAGTATACAGAAAGTCATATGTAGTATACTATTAGCTATAGACAGTCTTTAAAAAGTTTGTAAGATTTAACATACCAGCCTTTAAAAATACCTTTACATAAACAAGATAATCTGGAAAGACAGAGAGAGTTTATGACACTTAACTCTTTTACAAACCATTAGCTGCTAGTAACTTAAAAGTCTACAGTTATATTTGGGTTTTATAAGAACTGGGTAAAAGCTCAGATTCAGTTTCCATAAACCAAGGAAACATTTCTTAGAAGATTCTTTTTAAATTCCTGTCTTTTCTACAGTCCCCACAGTTCCTAACATTGTTACAGGAGAAAATTGACTTCCACAAGCTCATGCCTTCTATGGCCTTACCGTGTTAATCGCCATGCGAGCTTCAAAGTTGTCTACACAGCTTAGAACAAGGTCAACAGGTTTCCCTTCCTCCAGTGCACCATTACTGAAATAAGCATCACAAAGTTTGCATGAAATTGCTGGCAGAACAAAATACCACCAACATGGCAAGCAACATGCCTGCTTCTAGAGTACAGAAGCCCAGGGGAAGTGAATTTGTAACAAGACTTGTGCAAATGCAGAATAGCGTACAAACAGCATCTGTGATCTACAGAAGAAACAACAGCTGAAGCTGGGATTTAATATATGGGCATTTTAGACTCAAAGAAGTTTTATATAGAAAACACTCACAGTACAAAGTATTGGAGAATTGTACCTTGGTACAACAGAACTGCAAATGGCAATAGTTATTTCAGACCTCCTCTGTGAAATCCACTAATAACTATTTTCTTTCTTCGTTCTATAAAGCATAACTGAAACCACTTTAGAGCAGTGAAAATATGATCTGATCTGTTTTCTATAATGGGAAAAGTCTCTAAGTCCTACAGCTTTGGCTGGAAATCTAAAGATGCATCAATATAAAAACGTGAGGCTGTATAGAACCACACATCAGCAGAAGTTGGCAACATGCTTTTCTTGAGAGATTTTACCTTATTCTGTCCATGAAGTGTTCAAAGTTGTCCAGTGTTGTGATGTTGTAGTTATGTACTTCAAACTGAACATCAGGATTAATATCCCTTATGGAGGAAATAATATAAGTCAATAGTCACAAATGCAATGATAATTTGCATTCTACTCCCTAACTTCTCAAGTGTTACTGTAGTCTTAAGTTTCCAGCCTGAACTCAAGAATACACCCATATTTCTCCAAAATTCACAGATTAGATGAGAAAAAAACCCACAATATATTGAATTGGCATAGTTTATACCAAACTTCTGAGCAAAACTAGCTTTACTTAAAAAGTAGACTCACATAGAGGTTTTGGCCAATATGTCTTTAAAGTATCAATCATTCCCACAAATATTTTATACTCAAATTCCCCAATTAGATCATGCTCCTTTGCAAGTAATTAAGAGCGAAACATTGGTTTTCTGGAGCAGCATCCTAGGCAAATACATTTTAATACCCACTTCTCTAAGCTATACCTCAAAGTATGCTCTGCTGCTTGCACTTTACTTAATCCAGCTTGATGAGGTTGGAAGAAGAGTCTGTTCATGTTTGCCAGTTCCACTTTGTCATAGTCAAACAGAAGCAGCTACAATAAAGATTGTATTAACATGTGTGAATCTCCAAAGACACAGCAATTAGAGTCCGATGGCAAGGTATTTTAAACAACAAAACTAATTCTAAAAAAAAACCAACAAAAAGCCACCCCAAGCTAACATCCCTCTACCCCTGCAGTGCCATTCAATTCACATATAAAAGGTGCCAATTTTGTAAGCATGAAAGACTGAATTCTAACTGCCATTCAGGAGGAACCAATTTGTTAAATCCTGAAAACTACTCTTAATAATAAGTAATCTGTTCATTTGATCTAAACAAAGATTATTTAGCAGATTAATCTACATGAACACTATCATCTCTGTTATCACATTCCTACTTGCTATTATGTCATTAACTAAAAATGTGTGATTTATTTCACTTGTCTTGGGATGCAGTTCTTCAAAAACAATTCTCTTAAAATACCTGCATAGTACATGAACGTGTTGTTTATTATAAATCCTGAATCAACTGATGTTCTTTGCTATGCCTAAGATGCCAGTCTTCTGGAAATGCTCCTTCAGAAGAATAAACTTCGCAATAAAAAATTGCATCACTTCTATATTTAAAAACTTTCCAGAGTTTTAAGAGTAAATAGTCAGGCTTTGTCTGGAAATACAAACATTTGAGCCATTCTCCGAATTCCTCCTTTAGAGAAAAATCCTATACACACTACACACACACCAAATTATTTTTAACTGCTGCTAAATTTTTAGCTCTAAGTCTGCCACATGACAAACTACCATTTGTGATAAAAATATCTGTTTGATATTCACCACGTTTCAAATTCATGAATATAAACTTCTTATTATAAGACTTAATCTTCTATGCAAGCTATCCCCTCCTTTTTCTTTGTTTTGTTCTCCTTTTGCAATAATCCAGTATGAAGGTTAGACAGATGGGCTCGTATAGGAGTACGGAGATGACCAGAATCCAAACAAGGATCATCCACATCATACAAGATTTAGCCCGAAGTAAATCAATTTTACTAGTGTTAAGAAAAATACGGACTCTTCAGTGCTTTCTTCACAACAGCTTTTTTATTTGGGTAAAACCAACTGAATGAAATCAAATCAAACTCTTCATAAAGAGGACTGGTCCCTCTACTGTAAAGAAGTAGAAGAAAAAAAAACTCTCATTACCTTACCAATGCCACACCTTGTCAACATTTCAGCAGTCACACTGCCAACTCCACCTACACCTACTACTGCAACTGTAAAGGTACGGATTTTCTGTAGAAAGAAATAAAATAGAGACAAAGATATCAAAAGTGGTCCTCCCAGGGAAAGAATGCAAGTAACGTTTCATTACAGATAGAATCCTACCTCATAGTCTTTGACAATTCCCATTCTTTTTAATGCCATCAAGCGACTACGAATAAAAAAAAAAAGCAACATTACACAGAAAATGCTCTCTATGTTTCTAATAGCAATTTTGCTTTTCAGGTATTTAAAATCACTTTTGATTTAAAAATAACCCCTCCAAGCACCAAACTCAAGCCTGCTGCTTTCACTGCAGTTGTGATTGCCAGCTAGGTACAGTCTGAATGAGAGAGTAGATGCTTTCCTATTAGCAACAGAGTACTAACCCTGCAGAAACTCATTTTCTTATTCAGCTGGTATGAGTAACGTCAATGAAATCAGGAGGACACATAGCTATTTTTGTAAATTGATCCCAGATTTACAGAATGAAAGATGACACTTTTTTCGGTAATGAACCATATGGCAGCAAACTAGGGAAGACTTGCACTGTCTTCTGATCAATTTGATTATATTAACTCCAATATAACATTAAAAAAATTAAAAATTGACACTATCAGGTTTTAAGGATAAATGAAAGGATTTTAAAGTAACATTTTATCCTGTTATTGCATTTTTACATTGAAAGTATCAACGAAAGTACAGATATCGACTTGTATTAAGGAAAAAAAAAAGGCATCAGATTTCCAGAAGAGAAGGGGTCCCTGGTGCTCAGTAATTCTATAAATCAAACTCTAAAATAGGTAAGTTATGAGGAATAAGACCTCGTGTTATACCAACACCTGTCCATTTATTAGCAACCTAGCTGAAAAACTCACAAGGTTTTCTCTCTCTCTCTCTCGTACTGTAAAACAAGATAATACAACGTAGCTCTGACATACACCCCTGTCAGCCCAGGCAGGTGGGAAATCCGAGAGCATCCCTCCCCTGCTCCCCACAGAGCACCTGCCTTCAGCCTTGTCCTGACACCCTCCTCGGCAAACCCAGGCCAAGCCTTTAGACCCGCACCCGCCCGAGCCCCCCTCCACATGCCTCTTCCCCTTCCCCCAGACCCGCAGTTCCAACCTACGGCCCTCCCTCTTGCCCATCCTCTTTATCCCGACGGAATCCTCCGCTTCCCGGACGGCTTCTGGCCCAGCCGCACCTGTAGGGGTTGGAGTCCGTCACCTCCGGGCTCATGGTGTCGATGCGGGTCCGCGCCGGCCGCCGCCCGCCCCGCTCCCGGGCCAGCTCCTCCTCTAGCTCCCGCACCCGCCGCTCCAGCCGCTCCAGCCGACCGGGATCCGCCATGGCAGCGACACGTCTGCCCGGCCGCGGGAGCTTCCGGGAAGCGCCGGGGCGTTCCCATCCCGGGACCGCCTCCCGACACCCGGCAGCGGGAGCAGGCGGGATCCGGCGGGGGCTGGGGGCGGGTGTTCGCCGAGGCGGTACCTGTCTCCCGGGATTGCTGTCTCCCAGGAGAAGCCACCCAGCCCCGGCAGCCCCGGGGGCGGGCAGCGCTTTCCTTGGCGGACCGAGGCGCCTCCGGGCGGCGGCGAACGGGACGGGGCGGGGCGGGACGGGGCGGGGCGGGGCGGGGCGGGCAGCGGCGGAGCCTCCCGGGATGGCGGCGGAGCCGGGCACCAGCGAGGTGCGGCGGCAGCACCGCTTCGACCAGGGCAGCTTGGAGCGGTACCTGAGCAGCCACCTGCGCGGCTTCCCTCGGGAGCCCGCGGGCGCGCTGGCTGTCAGGCAGTACAGGTAACTGGCGGCACAGGTGACATAGGTGACACAGGTGACGGGGGAGCCGCCGCTCTTCTGCTCTAGCGCTCCCGGGAGGGGCCAGAGCCGCCTCCGTGGCCCGGACATGGGCTGTGAGCCCGCACTGTGAGGCGAGAAGAGGGGCCGCTCTGCTCGCTGCTGCCTGGCAGGGAAGGTGGCCAGCGGTAGAGATGTCCTGGGGATGGCGGACAGCAGCCACCGAGGGAACAGCTCATCCCCTGGCCGGCTGGAGAAGTCAAAGTTTGCAGTGGCGGCGAAGGTGACCTTTGTCACGGACACTGTGTGGCCGCAGCCAGCCGTCTACGGGCGGGCTGTGTGTTGGGTGGACTTCCCGCTGTCCTCAGAGTACTCACATGATTCTTTTATTGCCTCTCAATTTATTTGCTCCATCTTTGATTACACAGCAAATAGTAATGTTCAGAAGCACATACACGGCTTAAGAATTCAAATGTAGAAGCGTTAGGCTATGGGGGGTTAAGCAAATCCATGAGAACAGGGCAAGGATGTGTTGAAATTCCCATTAACGCCCTGAGAGCAATGCCTTGCGCCAGTGGGATGCCACACCCAGGCTCCAAAGCCACTATCCCATAGAACGGTGGGTTCGTTTGCATTCAGCAAATTAGTGTTGTGGCTGCGTGACTTCACATCGGGAGCTAATTATTAGAAGGTATTCTAAAAATATGTATTAGTTCCTCTCTAAACATGACCTAGACTACTTTATCTGCAGACCACTAAGAAACAGTAAACAATTTCTCATTGACTTCTGTTGCAAATATAAAACATCCATTGAATCCTCAGCTGTACCCTAATCCTCGTATGTACCTCAATTGAGGAGACTTTAGGAAGGACCTTAGGAGAGTAGCTAATAGTAAAATCTGCTAAAATACTGTCAGTATTTGTGCTTTTACTAGTTTGCTTGTCTTGTAGTTGCAGTTCAAGGCTTCAGCTGGTGTAAATTTCTTTTGTGCTAGGCAGAGCATTTGTCAGTGCAGTATACTTGTTAAATTGTGTTACAAACTATGCCCTAACTGCTTCAGGGAGAATGGAAATGTAATGGGAAGCGTGAGGGCAAAAGTTCGCTTGATTTTTATTTTCCATTAGTTGTCCAGTCTTTTATTGGACTAAGTCAAAATGCATCTTAAAATTATCCAGAATGAGGAGAGAAAGGCATGCAGGGAAGCACAGAGCCTTGAGGAAAATAAAGGTCAATGATCTTGGTTGGAAAATGATGGAAAAAGCGTTATGAAGGGTTTAACTAGGTTACCCTTTTCTTTTATACATGTATGTGATTGAAATGTCTTATTTTCTTTGTCACTTCAACATTTAGTCTTTAAAATTTTCCTATAGGCTGTCCCTTAAGCATAGCATATGGATATCATGATCAGGCTGGCATACAGTGGAGCTTTGTACTAGAATAATCAGTAATTTAGTCATAGAGTAGAATCAGAGAATGGGTTGGGTTGGGAGGGACCTTAAAGATCATGTTTCCAACTCCTTGCCACAGGCAGGGACACCATTCTCTAGGCCAGATTGTTCAGAGCCCATCCAGCCCAGCCTTGAACACTTCCAGGGATGGGGCATCCACAATTTCTCTGGGCAACCCATTCCAGAGCCTCACCACTCTCACAGTAAAGACTTTTTTTCTAATATCTAATCTAAACCTACTCTCTTTCAGTTTGAATCCATTCCCCATTGTCCTGTCACTGCATGCTCTTGTAAAAAGTTCCCCTCCAATTTGGAGAGCTTTCTTTGTGCTTACATTGTTCAAAATACAGCTCACCAAAGGACAAATACAATTATGAGCTAGTGAGAATTCTGCTCTCTTTAATTCCTCCAAATCAGCTTTGAAGTTAGTATCTACTGCATGCCTTGAATAAGTTAATGATGTCTCTTCATGGAGGAGAAGTAAATGCTACAGGAGAACAATTTGGCTGTGATCTGTCCACAGTGAAAGAAGACATCTTTCTTATAAGTAGGAATAGAACCTCTGACTTTTGATTCTGTAGGCTATCACTTGCTTCCTTGTAAGACTGGATTTGAAGAAAAACCCACAACCCAAAACAACTCCTGAGAAGAACTCTTTCCTCTATCCTGCCATTTTGTTCAGGCCAAATTGAAGTGTATTTTGCATAATTTCTGTTAAAAGTTTACAAATTTGTAAGTACTTGAATTTGTACTTTTAATCTCTCTCTTTGTAGCTCTGGCCAGTCAAATCCGACCTTTTACCTTCAGAAGGGTGGTCAGGCTTATGTGCTCAGGAAGAAGCCCCATGGCCCCCTTTTACCCAGAGCACACAAGGTAAGTAATGTTCCTCATCAAGCTCCAAACACTTCGTATTGCAAGTGATTAAGTCCCATACATTACCCAGCACATTGTTGAGTGGGTCCAGAAATGCAGTGAACTGCTAGATCAGTGAACTGTGTTCTGTGAACTAAACATTGTCATTTACTGTGCTCATTTATGTTTGGGAGGTTTTAACTGAACCTAAATTTCTGTGTCGTCTTCAGGTCGATAGAGAATATCATGTGCAGAAAGCCTTATTTTCGGCTGGTTTTCCGGTGCCTGAGCCCCTGTTGTATTGCAGTGACGTTTCTGTCATTGGAACAGAGTTTTATGTAATGCAGCATGTGCAGGTTGGTCCTCCAATGTGAGAGATTCTTTCCTTCTCCCTACTGCAAGATGCTTTTAAATTGCCTTTCTGTTAGAGCCTTACTCAGCAGTCACTAGGTTTTCTGATATGAACATAGATAATCTTTTGATAATTTTAAGAAATGGTAGCTATCAGTGATTCTCACAGATTTCAGCTTCTCCAAGGCTTATTTCCCACTTTGTTGAAATATTCAGCTCAGTATTTTACCTCTTGTTCTTGTTTTGAGTTCTCAGAAGGATGTCTTGCAATAAGGCAATATTTCTTCTGTGAAAAGCATACACAAGTCAGAGGGAAAACAGTCAGTTGATGAAGTTATACTGAATCTTTGGATATCCTGCAACCTGTTTAGTACTGAAGATAGGAATTGACATACAATCACCTTTTCTTGAAAACCAAGCAGAATTTCAGTTCAAACAGAAAGAATAGTTTCGGAAAGAAACTGGAGGAGGATTTGAATTCAGGCCTCTTTCCTTTCATTGCATCCTACTCTGTCATCAGGTTAACTGGGAAATTAGAAATATAAGAGTTTGTGGGACAGTTTCCGGAGATTAAGTTAACTTTCCTACAAAACCCATGAATCAAGAATAATAAAATATAAGAGCTCTGAAAAATTTGAAATGGATTTCTTACATTAAAGATGGAGAATTTTTCTGGTTTTGGCTACAAGAAAGTGATTCCTTAAGAAGAAACCTTGCTGCATTTCTAAGTATGGAAATGTACAGTCTGTCCATTCTAAGATGGACAACACTCACTGTTTTTAACAAATACATTGTATATTTAGAAAACAACCATATATTTATTCTGTTGAATAAACTATTGCACAGTACAAAACCTGATTTTGAGATGTGTTATGAAGAACCTTTTAGTAAAAAAAATTCTCTTGCTACTTTATCTGTGTGAATATATTGAAGCCATCACGCAAAATAGTGAAATTGAGGAGCTCAGAGGAGATAGGAATCTGTTTTTTCTCTTCCAATCTGTTACTGGCAGGGTCAGAATTAAAGGATGACATGGAAAACCACACCCATCTTTTAGATATATTAAACTGCCTTTAAGGAGAACACAAGTGAATTTCTTTGGGTTGTTTGGCTCAGCATGTGGAACCCACCTATTTCCCTTCTCTCCCTGTCTGTGCCCCCCACCCCACCTCCCTCAGGTCTTCACTGATATTTTTTCTGCAAGTTAGTTGTTAGAGGCAATGCAACATTATTTTTCCTGGTACTTTCAAGCTTCATGATATCTGGATTGAGTGCTCTAATTCAGACTTTCATCTACTGAATATATCTGTTACTTTAGTTACCTTCCATATACTAATGATCTGAGATTACTGTGAATCCCTTCATTTCCCCCGGGCGAGGAATAAAATAAATGAGGAAGGAATTTTTGTTTGCATAGAGGTGTTGATTCACTACATTTGGTTTTGGTCATTAAATGTATAGCTTTACTTCTTTTCATCTGGTGTGTACATCCCACCAAATGTCTGATTTATGGTGTTTTTAGGGTCGCATTTTCCGAGACATCTCATTGCCTGAAGTGGGCCCAGCAGAGCGTTCTGCTTTGTATATTGCAATGATAGAAACTTTGGCCCTGTTGCACTCCTTTGAATTACACTCATTGGGCCTCCAAGGATATGGTAGAGGACCAGGATACTGCAAAAGACAGGTAAAACTCTTAAAAAAATTCTCTTGTCTTGTCAGGTCTTTGAATATTTATTTGATTTGCAAGCTAAATTATTAATTACTAAAAACATGTAAAACTAACCATCATATTTTAGCTATTAAACACCTTCACTTAGTTCAATTATTTTGTGCACCATGTAAAGCCACTGTTACATTCAGATTGATTCTGTAATGCTATGCTCAGGGAATGATACTAATTTGTTTTTGGAATAATAC